TGTATACATACAAATAAAGAATAAAGAAAAGAGAAAGCAAAAATAAGAAAAACGAGGGAGGTGTATGTTATTGAAAAGACATTAACTGTCTATTGAGTCCAGAAGAATAGAAGGTTCCTGTAAAATTATCCGGTATATAACAAGGCTAGAACACTCGAACTCGAACTTCAATACTCCATTTTCTATTCTTACGCATAACATAACGTAACAAACCGGGCGCATGCCCAACTAACATAAATACGAGGCTAATAACGTCACACCTTTCCTCCAACAAAAGAATAAACAGAACAGTAACATAATAAAAATAATTGTTTTTAAAGTTTGCTAATCAGAAGTTGTGGCCAGTGATGTAGTCCGGCCGAATTACTTTCCTGCCACTCCTTGTTGTTACTGGCTGGTAAAAGTTCAATTGCCTGTGATCAAATCTGGTCTCAGCAGGTCTGGCGGCTGCTGTCTCTTCTTCAGTAGCATCAGGTCGTGAGTGAGGTGCCTCTTGCGGATCAAATTGCTCTATTTCAGATTGGTGATCTTTATAAGGTCAAGCCACTGCTTCTCGTTCCTTTCTGGGGAAAATGATTGAATCTTCTTCATCTGCAAAAAAAGGCTCTTTGGTTTGACGTAGAAACTTTCGACTTACACCAACTTGCTCTATGACACATCCTTTGGTCCAGCTGCCTGTTCTGTCGGAATTTCTTGGCTTTATCCGGACTACATCATCTTTCTTTAATACACTTAGCTCCCTTGTGCCTCTGTTATAATACTTTGATTGTATCTCTTTCCTCTTTCGAAGTTTTTCTTGGACACCAGTGACAACCTTTGGTTTAAGGAGCTTCTTCGATATGGGAAGCAGTGTTTTAGCTCGTCTGCTAAAAATACGCTGGGAAGGAGAGCTTTCCATCCCCTCAGACGGCTTGTTTCGCCATTCTAGTAGCACGAGATAGAAGTCATTGCCAGATTCAGTCGCTTTTTTCATTAGCATCTTTGCGGTTTTGACGGCATTTTCTGCTTTGCCATTACTCTGTGCGTACTCTGGCGAGCTTAGCTCAGTGGTAAATTCCTATTCCTTGGCAAAATCCTGAAATTCTTTAGAGGAGAAAGGTACGTTTTCACTCATGAGCGTATCTGGTATCCCATGAGTAGAGAAGTGTCGCTTGAGCTTCTTCTTAATTTCCCCAGCAGTTTTGTAAAATAGACGATCTATCTCAAAGTAGTTGAAGTAGCAATCCACAGTACAGAGGAAGTCTTTGTTGTTGACTGTGAAAATGTCAGCAGCAATTATTTGCCAGGGGCGGCTTGGGATTTCACGAGGAATAAGGGACTCTCTGGTCTGGTTGTTTTGAAATGTGTTACAGATTTCACATTTCGAGATGAAGTCGATAAGATCTTTGTTCATGCCAGGCCAGTAAACTACTTCTCTGGCTCTTCTGAGGCAGCTCTGTATTCCTGTGTGTGTTACATGCAGTTTATCCCGGATCTTTTTGCGCAGTGTTTCTGGAACAACTGCTCTCTGACCCTTGAAAATTACGTCATCCTGTGTTGCTAGCTCGTCTCTGATTGAGAAGTATGGATGAATACATCGAGGAAGGGTCCCTTTTCTTTCTGGCCACCCATTCAAAATTATTTCTTTCAGTGCTTGTAAAGTGCTGTCACATTTTGTTTCTCGCTGTATTTCCTTCAGCTGTGGCTCAGAGATGGGGAGATAATTTGACATGTGGATAGTTTCGACTTCTTCTTCAGTTGGGGACTTTTGTTTCTCACTTGTCGGCAGGTATGCACGAGAAAGTGTGTCTGCTAGAACAATTTCTTTGCCAGGTTTATAGCAGATTTTAACATCGTATGATTGCAATCTTAGTAGCAACCTTTGCAGTCTCTTTGGAGCAGAGGCGAGTGGTTTGCTGACGATTGAGACAAGTGGTTTGTGATCCGTCCAAAGTGTAATCTCTCAGCCATAGACATAGGTATGGTGATGTTCCACTCCAAATACTTGTGCAAGCAGCTCCTTCTCTATTTAGCTGTAATTTTGCTCTGCAGGGGTGAGGGCTCTGCTTGCATATGACACGGGACGTCCCTCTTGCATGAGCACGAAACCAAGCCCCTTTGATGATGCATCAGCCTGGCCTTCTGTTGCTGCCTTATGGTCAAAATACTTTTGAACTGGTGCCTCGCAAAATGCTTTTTGTATGTCAACAAAAGACTTGTCATGATCTTTTCCCCATACCCATGGTGCATCTTTGTGGGTCAAATTTCTCAGAGGTTCGCATACTTCAGATAGTCTGGGAAGAAACTTGGCCAGGTATTTTACCATGCCAATGAACCTTTGTACACCAGCGACATCTTTCGGCTTGCTCATCTTTGTGATGGCTTCAACTTTTGCGGGGTCTATTTTAAGACCATTCTGTGTTAGGGTATGCCCAATGAAGGAAACTTCATCGCACTTGAACTTGAATTTGTCCTTGTTCAGCTTGATGTTTTTTTGTTGACAACGTTTCAAAAGTGTCAGCATGTTCATGTCATGATTTTTGACAGCTTCTTCGTAAGTTTCTCCTTTTCCGGTAACAAGAGCATCGTCAGCGACTGCATACACTCCAGATAGGCCTTCGATGCACTGATCAAATTTGTGTTGAAAATGTTCTGAAGCTGGTTTAATTCCAAATGGCATCCTGAGGTACCTCCAACGCCCCCATGGTGTCTGGAACGTTGTGAGCATGCTTGATTCTTCATCGAGCTCTATTTGAAGGTACCCTTCCTTCAGGTCGATTTTGCTGAATACCTTGACGCCTTCTAGCTCTGGTAGCACATCCTCAATGAGCGGTAACGGATAATGACTTCTTTTCAATGCTTTGTTGAGGTGTTGTGGATCGATGCACACCCTCAGTTTCCCATTTGGTTTTTCTGCAATGACGAGATTTGATACCCAATCTGTTGGACTTGTAACTTTCTGAATGACATGAAGATATTCCAGCCTTTTCAATTCAGCCTTGAGTTTTGCTTTAAGAGCGATTGGTACTCTGCGAGGCGGCATGACAACAGGGGTTTGTGACTCATCAACATCTAAGTGCAATTTGCCTGGCATGTGACCCAAGCCTTCAAAGACATCTCCAAAACGGTTCTCTATATCTGCAATACTGAGTTGAGAAACGGCAGTGGTCGATAAAACTGTTTCCATGACAACCGTTGGTTGTGCCTGTTGATGTGTGCTGTTTGAAGCAATACTGTTAGAGCTAACATTATCTACATTTGCGTTAAAGATATTAGCATAATTAACAGTCAGAAGTCCCATCTTTTTTGCTGCATTAGCTCCTAATAATGGCACATAGTGACCTTTTACAACAACAAACCTGACAGTGTACTCAGTCTGGATCTTTGGGTTTACTACCTTAAGTTTACAAATACCATATATCGGTAATAAGGCTTGGCTGTACAGGCGCAAAGAGTGATCCGATTTTTCAACTTTTGTGCCTGGAGGAACGAAGTGTTCTGGAAGGACATTACAGGTAGCACCTGAGTCAATTTGAAAACTAATTTGCCTGCCTTTTATAATCATGGAGGCAAAAATTTGTTCTTAGGAGGGGACTGGGACACAGCATTGATTGCCAGATTATTTTTGGGTGAAATTTCAACAATGAGAATTTCATCATCACTTGAAGTGTTTTTTTCCTTCACTGCATGTATTTTGGCTTTATAAAATGTATCTCTCATACCTGGTGATTTCTTCAAGCTGCACTTCTCAACAAAATGGTTTCTCTTACCACAACCAGAACAATATTTGCCAAAGGCTGGGCAACTGTCTTTGTTTCTTTTATGGCTACGCCCACAAAATTTGCAGTCGGAAATAAAACCTCTTGTGTCTCCAGTGGTCTTCCTTGGGCTGCTTTGCTTTCCAACATAATGGGCCATGAGGTCGTGATTATCATCTTGGCCAGCCATTATTTTTGCTTGAGCAGTAGTTGTTTCTGTGGCCCTGCATAAGTCAATGCATTTAGATAATGAGAGTTTTGGTTCTTGCAGTAACTTACGTCCACTGATCTATAAAAAAGACTGGATCGAGCTTCTAATGTGACCCGAGTGTCGCCATCCGAGAAGAGGGCCCCAGAACAGTCCATGCTAGGAGACGGCCTTAAGTGTCAGTCCTAGCAATGTTTTCAGCTGCTCTGGCCTTGTTCTTTCTCAGGACTCATACACACAGCATTGCAGCTCTCACGTATTCATATCGTTCAAGTATTGCTTTTGAGGGATGGCTTCCCGCTATTGTTTGGGGCCCTCTTTCTTTTGAAATTGAACAGGCTTCAAACTTTCATGTTTCAAGACAATAGGAAGCTCGATCCAGTCTTTTTTATAGATCAGTGCTTACGTCGAACAGCATTGTTGTGAATGCCACAAACAATTCGGTCACGTATCAGCTCATCATTAATTGGTCCAAATGCACATGTGGCTGCGAGGGCACGCAAAAAGCCGCATAAGTTTCAATTGACTCTGTAGGGCCCTGTGTACAATTATTGAATTTATACCGTTCGTAAATTACATTTGTTTCTCCAATACAGTAAGTATTCCATAATTCGAAGATTCGCTCGATGTTTTGACGTTCGCCCTCCTCCTGGTACGGAAGTGAATTGTGTATTCGAAGAGCTTCCGATCCTATGCAAGTGATGAAAGCAGCCACTCGAAAATTGTCTGGTTTAGACCAGTGGCGAAGCCAAAGGTCCTGCTTGTCCTGCCGGGCAGGACCACAAATTTCCAAAGATAACAATTTTTAAAATATTAAAAATTTATTCATTTTATGAAATCACTATATGCCTGATTCAAAGGCATTTCTTGTCTTATTCTACACTTTTACTTCGTGGCTGTGCCCCTTTTCAATTTTGAGACACAGGGTGACTGGAATGGAATTTCGAGTATCCTGTTCGTAAATTGATATCGTCAAAAATTTGGCCCTGTGGTCAGTCCTGCCCAATACTCGTAGGCAGGACTAAACCCTATGTTTGGTCCTGCCCAACAATGGGCAAACGCCTTGTAGCCCTGTTTTTGGTCCTGCCTCACAATAGAAGAAAACAATGGCACTCCTACCCTTCAGAAATGGCAGGACCTCAGGTCCTGCTCTTTCATGAAGGCAGGACCTAGACTTTTGGAGCCCTATGTTTCGGTATAATTTGTTGATTTTTTGCACCGTGGTCGAAGGTCACAAAGAATTTTCACTCAGGCCATAGTCAGGCTTAACCATTTTGATATCATGGATAAAACTAACTGTAACCGTCATGATTCTGCTGCTGAAGAAGTTTTTGCTGCTAGAAGCTTCGGCCCTACACTGTTGTCACTTGATTTATATAATAACCGATCGTTTCAAGACGAGTGGTACTTGTGGAAATCAAATTGTTTAGGGTCGTTCTGTTGGTCGTATTTACTGTTAAAGTCAAGAATATCACAGACATCGCGAGAAACCTGACATGCATATAGTTTTCTCTCAGACTGCAGAGAGCAAAGGAAGTCATATTCAAAGGCCTAATTATAAACAGTAGAAAAAGTTTGCAGCCGCTGCCGAGAAAGAATCTTCGATTTTTTGTACCAGGAAAGTCGAGATCGAGGGGGGATGGAGTGTGCATTAAATTCAATTTCAGCAGTTCGTCCTCCTGCCTTAAACAGGAACTACCATACAATTCAGAGGTCCTGATCAAAAGGACGCTTTGAAAAGGATGAAAAGGAAAACAATGGTAATTACTGGGAGCTTTTGTACTCGGTAACTCAGATTGTATTGTACTGGCAAAATGTCAGGGGTCTCCTCTGATATTCAAAACAAATTTATTCAAGACCCTAACTATCGTGCATCAGACATATCCATGTTGTGACAGAATCTTTTTACTTTTTTTAAATAATTTGAATCAATTATGTTTCCAGTATGTATTACAACTGTATATGCCTATCTAGTACAAGCAATTTCTTTTTAGTCAATGATTTCAAAATTTCCAATCAATGAAAACATTTTCAAATGTTACTTATTTTAGAAATAATTTTTGTGATGCTCTTTTGACAAGGATCCGAATCTTCATCCCCTTTTTTCAAAATGTGGCAGTGAAAAATGTTTCACTGCAATCTTGATTTCAACATATCCAGAAAGGCGTTTCCCCCATTTCCGAGGGTCTCTAGGGCGTGGCTTCATGTGTATTTCTGGGGGCTACGCCAGACCCCTTTTGCGCAGGACCACCTGTTCTTGGTTAGCTTCGCCACTGGTTTAGACTTCAAATTCGTAACAGTTTCGTACGCATCATAAATGTGCTTCCATTGCTTCCAATTCTCTGCCAAATTCCCTTCTAAGCTTAATCGTGGGGGTAATGGCACGTTAGATATGAACGCCGATGTTCCGCTATTTCCTTAGAGGAAGCACTTGGCCCAGGCACGATTGGATCCGGATCTTTCATCGCAAAACAAGAACCAGCAAAGCAATCATTTACCTCCTAAACATCAAAGATGGGTGTTTCACCTGACACCATGTAAGAATATCCGGTATATAACAAGGATAGAACACTCGAACTCGAACTTCAATACTCCATTTTCTATTCTCACGCATAACATAACATAACAAACCGGGCGCATGCCCAACTAACATAAATACGAGGCTAATAACGTCACAGTTCCCAGTACAAAAATGATTCGTTATTCCAGTGGCTTTCACTTCAAGAGGCCAAGAATTGACATGTCTACTTCTGTGTGATTCGCGGC